ATTGGCTCATTTGGATCACGTGCAGCCTTGAGCCGGACGCTCCGGAGGGCTTTACCATATTAACAGGAGAAGCGGCACAAGTGAAATTAGACACTGTCGTCGGACAACATGCAGTAATTTATAAATGTTTTAAATCAGGTTGGGTCCGGATTAGCCAGCAGGTGGGTCCGGATCACTTTCTCAGAGTCTATATTAGTCATGCTGACAGACTGAAGGGGCGGCTATGTGTTTGGTTAGCAGCCTTCAGCCTCGATGGAGGAGACTCAGACTCCACCATCACACTGCTCAGTAGAAAAGTCAAACCCATCTCACCATAGATTCATTGTTCCCAGCATGGTTGTTCCGGTCCCTGTCCAGGTTTTTGTCCTCTCCAGGGACCGGTAGGTAGTGCTCCCCTCTTCTCATGGTTGTGCCTTCCTCCTGGAGCGAGCTTTCCCTGCTCTCACAGTGCAGAACAGGTGGAGAACCTTGAGGAAGAACAAGGAGAGGAACAATAAGGAATCTTTTGAGGGTAAAGGTTCAAACCTCAGCTGTTTTTTTTCCAGCAGCGTCAGAATGAAACAAGCCTCTACAGGTCATGTGACATGAGAATGCTGTTTGTGCACAAGCTTCATTTTTCTCATGTCACTTTTATCTGTTTGGGCTGCATGTCACGTTTTACTTCCATGTGAACAAGAAGGTACACTGAACTTATGTGGTGGCCAACTACCTCAAAAATATCGGAACCAAATAAATAAAATTCAATGTAAGGAAGTGTTTTTAAAATAGTTTTATTGTCAATGTAAAAGTTGTAATAATGTTTACTTGGATGACTTTGCTTACAGATTATACATTTCTATTTGATATGACCATAATTCAAGCCCAGCTTAAAAACAGCGTGAGCCCAGCGTAAAACCTCTGACCCTTAACCATTACGGGTCCATACCCAGCCCTAATCCTAACCCTTGACCCTTAGGGGTCAATACCCAGCCCTAATCCTAACCCTTGACCCTTACGGGTCCATACCCAGCCCTAATCCTAACCCTTGACCCCTACGGGTCCATACCCAGCCCTAATCCTAACCCTTGACCCNTACGGGTCCATACCCAGCCCTAATCCTAACCCTTGACCCCTACGGGTCCATACCCAGCCCTAATCCTAACCCTTGACCCTTAGGGGTCAATACCCAGCCCTAATCCTAACCCTTAACCATTACGGGTCCATACCCTAAACTCAGTTCATTCCTTAGTCCTAAATGTGACCCCTGACCCTGAAACAGCCCCGCCAGCCCTAGAGGCCCCACAATAGGCTATTTATTTTTATTGTTTTTTCAGAAAATTTAACCCACCATGTATCAAAAACAAAAACACACACAGATGGATCTTGAACAGCAAACCGTTCCCTATTTGATTGAACAAATCCAGTCAGTTTGAACACTGACAGTAGATATTCATCATCAGGCTGAGTTCCTTTAACAAGATCTCAAGTTGTCTTTTAGAAAATACATGTGTTCATTAATCCTTATCAGACTAGCTGTAGAGAGGAGTTCATGGCAGCCAGAACCGTAACGATGAGCGCATTTAACAGATCTGACAGCAGAAACTGCACATTTCAAGAATCAGAAGCGAGGAAATTAGTAGGGCTGAAATAATTACAGTAGCAGCCATTCAAAATGGCCTTCCCCAGTGAAACGCCAGCCAAATGACAGCCCACTTCCCTGCAACTCCCATCAAAATCCCCTCCATAAACCCAACATATCTTTTTACTGTGACTCCACCCTTTTACTGAATTACAGGGTCTGACCAGGAAATGGTGCTTCTCTTTAGGTCTTAATGTCCACAAATCATGACAGAATATTTTAGTGCAAAGATTGATGTTTAAAAAGGAATTGAAGGGAACCAACCAAGGACCAGCCAAGGACCAACCAAGGACCAGCCAAGGACCCATCAAGGACCAACTAGGGACCAGCCAGGGACCAGCCAAGGACCCATCAAGGAAAGTGGGGACATTGTAAATGTCAGATTATTGAAATAACCGTCAACTAATTCAGTATTTGATTAATGGTTAACTGGAGTACATAGACTAAAGCAGGTATCCCCAAACTCGGCCCTCAAGGCCCGCTTTCCTGCAGGTTTTAGAGGTTTCCTTGCTCCAGCACAGCTGATTTTAAATGAGAGCTGATTAACAGGCTTTTGGTCTACTGCAATCATTATAACCAGCTGTGCTGAAGCAGAGAAACCTCTAAAACCTGCAGGACAGGGGGCCTTGAGGACCGAGTTTGGGGATGCCTGGACTAAAACATGCATTTAGCTGACAGAGTGACCCACTTAGAGCAGCAATTATATCTAAATTGTAAAAAGTACAACACTTTGCATTTAAGATTAAAAATATATATATGTCTTCCATCAATCTGCTCTATCTAGAACTCCTCAGGAGGAAATTTTTAGTTTCCCCTGGTTTAATTTAATAAAATATCTTCTTTAAGGAACCTTGGCTATCCAATTATTAATCGATTAATCAAAAAAATTATTGAAAGATCAATCCATCATCCATTTTCGGTGAAAGAGTAATCAATTTGCCAAATAATCTTTATTTGCAGCCCTAGAGATGTGGATCCCTGCAGCCCTGCTATGTCTCAGCAGTGAGGGCAGACCATGGAGCAAAGGACAATGATGCACCTGGGAGTCCACCAGCATTTCCTCTGCTGCCCAGGTGTTCCTGATGGTTCCAGTCCACCCACATCTACTGTCCTCACTGGCAACAAGGCCAACACTGCACTGCAGAATCATTCCTTTAGTTACAGTTGTGGACTGAAGCCTGGTTTATGTTCAGAAACCAGGTCGTCTGCGTGTGTGTGGTAGTTAACGCAGATATGCCTCCCTCCCTCCCGCAGACACTCTGGTGCACCTCGCCAAAATTGTAGGTGACCGCAGACAGTGTTGCAATTCTACATCTGCTCTACACTATGCGTATTTCCTGTTTGTGCCTAATGGCAGAATCTCTGGCTGTAGTTCAGTCCACCCCGCCGTGCACACCTCAGACACTATCCCAGACCCCGTGCAGGACGTTGTAGCTCTGTGCGACGGTCTGTTGGTTTGCACCCAAAGCCAAAACACGCAGCGCCACGGCCAGTCTTTGGGGAACACACACAGGTGAACTGTGTGTCGTCCAGCATTGGATGAGGGGTTGTAGACGGCGAACAAGCTCGTCAAACTGACACACGGACACCCACAATCCTAGCTAGTTCCTGATTGGCCCTCTGGCGTGGCGTGGAATCACAGCGCAGACCAAGCTTCAACATTGGGCATAAATCAAAAATACCTGCGTCATACCTGTGACAAGCTAATTGCTACACACTGCTGCAGGAGGATAACCAGCCCTTACATCCTAAGAGCAAAGAAAAGGTTTTATTCTGCCAGACTCTTCAGGCCATTTCTGCCTCCAAAGGTTCAACAGCTACAGGTATAAAAGAAGTGAGGAAAAGCGGACCCTCCGCCTGTTGAAAAAAACTCAATTAATTAAGTGCATTCACACGCTTCCGTCAGCCAGTTACTTAAACCAAGAAACATTTTGTAGCAGAACTCATTCACCTGTGAAATGGTCCAATTAGCCGTTTTCTGAGTCGTTTCTCTAAAGCGTTGCAGGAATCAAATTCAAAATGAAGAAATTATATTTAACTAAAGGGAAATCAGGCAGCTGCAAATAAAGGCTACTTTTATATACATCTCCACCTCTTTGGCTCTGGGGTTTGTTTTCAGAGAGGAGTATCTCTTTGCCATCCATCACCATTCTGAGGGATGCAGCTGCAGCTCACATTCTCTCTCTCCATCTTTCTTTGCTCTAAATTGAAGGTCTGTCAGCAATCCCATTAAGCGAGGCCGAGTGGGAAAGCCTTAAAGGTTCACCACAGGTCAAAACTCAATCCTTCAACCAATCAATTTATCCATAATGGATGAAGATCAGAGGAAGGCAGGGCAGCCAGGAAGAAAATCTAGCAAACAGGAAGTATCAAACGGTTTCTAAAGCTCTGATCTCTGCTGCTTTATTCACTGTTAACGCCCATCTTCAATAAAAGCTTCATTTGGGGAATTTCTCCATCAAGCAGGCATCAGCTCATCAGACCCTTTTCCTCCCAGTTCTTCACTGCTGATGATGGTTGCAGATTACATAAAGCAGAACGACAGGAATACGGGATCCAAGTCACTTTGCTTCAACAGATACAGCAGCTCAAAGCCATAATGAATTATTGGCAGAACGTCAAACTGTCAAACTCCATAAAGAAGAGAGACCATAAGGTTGATCCAAATTTAAAGCATTTCAGCAGCTTAATAGACCTGATAAGAAAACAAACCCAGAGTGGTCTGATGCAAACTGGATGCAGTCACAAAGGGATCCTCTGTAAAGGTGCTGAATGTCCAGGATCAACAGGCTGAATCGCAGCAATCTCTCCGCTACCTGGTGAAGGCAGGAGGACAAAGTTCACCTGGATGACCTAGCTGCCGTCTCCAGGAAGGGACAGAGCCATGGAGGATGCTGCCATGTTTGCAGGCAGATGCTGCAGATCTTCTACAGGCTGCTGAGGAGAGTAAAATCTCTTCCTCCATCATCTGCTGGAACAACAGCATCAGGGTGATGACTGAAAGAAGCTGATGAAGGCCGGCTCTGATGCGTCCAACCACGAGGACAAGCAGGGGTATAGCAGAGTGTGGCCCTGCTGATAGCTACGCTGACCCACAGCAGAAAGAGCAGCACTTTAAAGGGAAAGTGCAGTCAGCAAGGAATAATCAACGGATCATTTTTTATACCTAAAACTAAAATGTTTGCGTGACATCACGGTGCAGTAAGCCTAGCGCCATTCTCCCCGCTTTACAAGCAAAATCAATGGGAACTACTAGACACATCTGCAATCAACAACAATTATTGAAGATTTTCAGAGGACTTCACCATTGAAATTCACCAGAGCTATAGTGAAACTGACAATTCCCA